TAAAAGATCATATTTAAACTTTTACGATTATGCTTTGAAATAAATTTAGTACGAACAAAACTTTGGCTCTGGAAAGGCGTTAGCAGACTAACATTACATGATGCACAGAGGCTCATCTGCTCTGTCACCCTATATCCTGAAGCTAACATTATTGTAAAGTAACGTATTTCTCTGAATATGGGCTGGTGATCGGAAGGAGCTTATAAGCAGGCTATCAATGGGGCTCGGCCTGAGGCATCACAGATTCTAAAAGTCTTCATTGTAGCTCTCTCACTATAGCCATATGTGGGGATTTTCTCACAGATACTACTTGAGTAATTATTAAACATTTCACACAATGTGTGTGATAAGTTGTGAGAGCCGCAAATTTCAAAGTTCTTTACATGCACCCTGATAAATAAAAAATATAGTCAAGTTTTTCCCAGAGACCATCGATATAGCATATTTGTTTTTTATGAATTTAATTAAAATCACATTTTTAAAAAGGTCTATTTCAAACTTTTAATGCTTATACACTATGAAAATAAATTTAGCAAAACATTCACAGTCTCATTCTGATCATTGAACACACCCCTCTGACTGTCAAACGCTGGTGTGAGAAAGAGAGAAATACTCTGGGGTTCTTTTCAACTTTAAATGGTCAATATGGACATCTATGTGATAGGAGCTACTTCAACCCTGGTGAAAATATAAGATGATTTTATTTTTATCTAAATCTAACATAATTGGTACAGTAAATTTGTAAAATATTTATTTTAAATAAACAGAATGCTTTTCAACTTCAGTAATTTAGTAAACTATTTATTTTATATATGATATATTTTAATTTATACACTTTTAAAGGAACAGAATGCTTTTCAACTTCAGTAATTTAGTAAGATTTTAAATGAACAACATGGTTTTTCAACTTCTGTGTGAGATAAACTTTCAAGGTCCCCAGCAATGTGGAGGGAGGGGAGGAGATCCATGACGCTGCAACATACGCCTGCACACACACACACACACACACACACACAAACGACTCCCTAACTCCCTACGGTCCAAAAAAATATATAATTGGAGACAGTTTTCAGAGAGATCCGGCTCTAGCGGGGGATTTTTCTTCCAACTCTGTAAAACTTGTAAGATGTATTTATTTATTTATTTAGAAATAATTGCTTCAGTAAGACATTTATTTTGTATTATATATTTTATTTTATATATTTTATATAATTTAAAATGAACACAATGCTTTTTCAACTTTAGTCAGATACAATTCCAGCGTCCCAAGCGATGTGGGAGTGAGAGTGGTAGGGAGGGGGAAATACACAGACGCACGCTCCTATGTTTTGAGGCAGAGGGAGATCATTCATACATGTTTACAACTGTTCAACAACTGTTTCAACTTTTTGGGGTGAGGTTTTACATAAACTGTATGTTTTATATTATTCAACTGTAATACATTTTAACTGTTTACAATTTTAATGTCTCCATTTTTTAATCGGAAATGCTTCACTGAATACATTTATTTTTTAACTTTGTGTCAGATAAGCTATAACAGTTTTTCTTATCACTTTCACACACACCTGCTATGATAAGCTTAGGCATAGCGAGGGGATGCGCTAAATAATAACAATCCATCGCTTTGTAACTGCAACAACAAACTCCAAACGATTAGACAAACTGTCACATCAAAGCCAATACATCTCAAACTAACTTCAAACAATTAAACTAACTGTCACATCAAAGCCAATACATCTCAAACTATCCATCATTTTTGACAGAAAGTTTAACAGGAAGGGGGCGGAACTAGATCAAACAAACTTCAAACAATCCATCATTTTTGACAGAAAGTTTAACAGGAAGGGGTGGAACTAGATAAAGGTCGTCATCCATCATTTTGACAGAAAGTTTAACAGGAAGGGGCGGAACTAGGTCAAAGGTAACAGGAAGGGGAGGGACCGGAAGGGGCGGGACAAGGGGCGGGGCAGGAAGGGGAGGAACCGGAAGGGGCGGGGGAAGATCAAAGGATAGTCACGCCCACCTGTCAATCAATCATTTTGACAGGTGGTATAGGCTATTTACTACTCTCACGCTCAATGCGTGAGAGTTGGCAGCCCTGAAAAAAAAAATATATATATATAGTATATATATATATATATATATATATAGGCTATATATAATTAATTTTTAATTAATTTTTTTACATAACTGCTTTTGAAATTACGATTGGTAGCCTATTATTATACAGATGCAAAGTCGTTCTGTTGGATACTATTTTTTTTCCTTAGTGTAAAATGGAAATGCATGATAATTGTATTTTATAAATATAAGCAAAAAAAACTGTATGGTGTAACAGAGTTTTAGAGCTAGACAAATCTAAATAAATATAAAATATACAGCAGACCTTGTTTGTGCGGGATTTGAACCCGTGTCATCTTGATGATGAACCCTAAGTTCTACCGCTCGGCTATGAATTTACTCACTGAGAAATACCCAAACGTCTGTTTCTCACATGAGCGATTTTTTCATTTAGCCTGTGAGTGTAGGCCTATACTTTAGCCTTTTACAGTTTTAAAAGATTATATCTTATCTGTATGACCAACAATTACGGAGTAGGCTATAAATGTTTGTTGTAGGCTTATTTGGAAATTACCATAACTTGTAGTATTTCATCCTTAGGCTACAGACATTAGCCCCACTTACGTTTTGCTAAATGTCCCTTTGCGCCACCTGGCGGTCGTTTCGCGAACGACTTTGAAATGCGACTGGTTTATTTTTACCGCGGTGGATGGCTAAAAGGTGTGACTAAAAATGTGCTTTTGGCTTTCATTTATATTTTGATTGTATATATACACACTACCGTTCAAAAGTTTGGGGTCGGTACGATTTTAAATACTTTTAAAAGAATTCTCTTCTGCTAACCATGGCTGCGCTTATTTGATTAAAAAACAAAACATCAACAAAAATCAGTTATAGTATTAAATATTATTCCAGTGTAAATCAGCTGTTTTCTGTGTGAATATATAGTAAAGTGTAATTTATTCCTGTGATCAAAGCTGAATTTTCAGCATCACCAGTGTCAGTGTCTTCAGTGTCAAATGATCCTTCACAAATCAGTATAATATGAGGATTTGATGCTCAAGAAACATTTATTATTATTATCAATGTTGAAACAGTTGTTGGTCTGTCAGTTGTACAGTTTTTTTTTTTTTTTTTTTGGATTCTTTGATTAATAGGGTTAGGGTTAGAATCTTTTGTAACATTATAAATGTCTTTACTGTCACTTTCGATCAAATTAATTATTCCTTGATAAATAAAAGTATTGATTTCTTTCCTCCAAAAAATAAAAATAAAATTCTCACTGACCCCAAACTTTTGAACGGTAGTGTATATATATATATATATTTATATATATATATATATATGTATGTGTGTGTGTGTGTGTGTGTGTGTGTGTATACATATTTATTTATTTATTTATATATATATATTGTCCTTGCATTCTTTCTTGTGTGACACCCCTGAATGAAAGGCTCATTAGTATGCAGTCTGCTCAGGTGAGAACTGCCTAATTATTCATGAGGGGGTTGGGCCGTTCCGCCCATCCGCATATTGCCTTTGCAAACAAAAAAATGTTTTTCACAATTTAAAACAATCTATTGTTTTATGTGATTGATTAGGCAGAATGATTTTCAGATCAATTCGAAGCAAAAACTCTAGGCGACAACATCCACTAGTCAAAAGTCTTGTGGACAGATATTTAGTATGTTATTTGTGGCCTTATATTAGAAACTTTATCTTTTAGTTTTTTCAATAACCACGCATAAACAATATTCTCTCAACAATACAAACATGTATTAACATGTTGTTCACATATTATGGTAGCCCTGTGTGTGCTATATAGAGTGTAATTTCACCTGTGCCATTAATATGTTTATAAGCAACTGAAAAAAGCAGAAATGTCAGAGCATGCCAAAACATCTCAAGGACCCTGAAAACACCTTAAACCCCAGAGGGTTAAGTTCAGTAATTTCACTTAAATGGCAATGAAGATTACCTATTAATTGTCATTTGAGTGAAATTACTGAACTTAAATATACAAGCTTCATAAAAATGATCATTCTAGAAGAAAATTTCAAATGGCACTTAGAGGCGTTTGCATCTGAACTCTTATATTTATTTATATAATATTTGAGTTTTGAAGTGCTGGAAAAAGATGTGTGAAGTACTTGAAAGCACTTCACTATTCCAGCCAAACTGGTTACATTTAGTGTTACTATATTAAATCCATGGTGGATGTTGCTGGTCTGTGGACGTAAAGTAGCCTATTACTAGTTCATTCACGGCACAATATATCTCCTGGTGTCCACGTCAGCGCTGTTTGATCTAATAGAGATCTACGGTTAATAAAGGAGAAATGTGAATGCTTCTCACTAGATCTCGCAGCGATGTTATTACTTCAGTGGCGAATTCTAATGTTTTCCTCACTGGATCTTAGCGCTGTGTTGTAACAGTGTCGCTTGATCGAGATCGGCTCGCGCTGCACAGATGTTGCTGGTCCGAACTGATAAACGATCCGTGCAGCACATAATGAGTAACGCAGTTTCGTTCCGCTTTCATTACGCTTGCCATTTGATGTTGCGCAACGTTGTGGTGGTCGCGCCAGCGCGAATTTTGTCGGCAGGAAAAATGGTCCAAGGAATCGTTCGGTTTGTATGCGTACCGAACCGGAAGCCTCGAACCGAAACGGTTCAATACGAATACATGTACCGTTACACCCCTACAAAATAGCCATTAGGTGGCCAGACATCTAAACCTCCCTTGTTCAAACCAAGTATTTGCTAGTTACCGTGTTGCACTCCTGTTCAATGAAATAACTGCAATGAAACCATATTATGTAAACTCATCTCTACATCAGTAATATTCTATTAAACATAAGCATCTCATGAACATCAAGTTTAATTCTGTAAAGCACGCAAGCACGTAAAATGGCCTAAAAGCAGCATTTTATTTTGTACCTGTGCGCTGACGTGAAATGTAATCCTCCAGACGGGCTCTGAAGGCAACCTCACCACCTTTACGCCCTATGGTCCCATCATCCACCAGAAGGAAAGCCTTGTAATTATTATCCAGATAGCAAGAGTCCCGTGCTCCGTTTTTGACTAAATACTTTGCGGGGAAACTTCCCTAAGAGAAAGAATGAGACACTGTTGTTCTGAAAGACCATATGCAAATGCAGTGTGGAATGGTAGTATCTCTTCAAATTGGGAAATTGCATACACCATACTACTGCTCTATTAATGCAGTACATAGCATGTGGACTTATTGGTAACCCTAGAAATTTTTATGAATAAAATATCTAATTTTTAGCACACCAGGGTGACTAGGAGCATGAAATTGTCGAGCCATGAAGAGTATAAATATGAGGTAACACAAAGGTCAAATTCCATAATACATCACAATGGGTAAAAATTTTAGCACACCAGGGTGACTAGGAGCATGAAATTGTCGAGCCATGAAGAGTATAAATATGAGGTAACACAAAGGTCAAATTCCATAATACATCACAATGGGTAAAAAAAAATAATATATATATATATATAGTTCAGTTATTAAACTCTAGAGGGCACAGGCTGATAGGTCATTTACATGCAATCTACAAGCAATCACACTATTGCCATATTGTCAGAAGTTGCTTGCCCTCTGCTGATCCTGCAGCCAATGAGATTGCTTGCTCAACATTTAATTAGTCTGGTTCAGTGTTTGTTGTAACTAGTCCTGCATCACCCAGAGTTCCTCTGAAACCCTCCACCTCCCCCAGCTCCACCTGCCTAGATCTCCTACGGGACTTATGTACGTCTATTTATGCAGTAGCAGCAGCAGCATATCTTACATGCTCACAGCAGCGTGTCTGTGTATCTATTAGCAGTAGCAAGTCCATACTTTCTCTGCAGCAGCAGCAGCAGTAGTGGAAGTGTAGCTGATCTAGTCTCCAAGACCAAATGCATCAACATTGCCATATTTATATAACATGCTAAAACTTTTCTGGGATTTGGCATGACTGAAATGTAGTTCTGATGTGCAGCAAAAGATTGTTGAGCGTCACAAAATTAAAAATTTGGCTGTAAGAAAATGGCTAAAGGATTGAAATTTCCCATTTACACCATCAGGGCAATAATTAAGTTCCAAAACAGGAGATGTCATGAATCTGTCTGGAAGAGAACACGTGTCCGGCTACATTGTCTTAATACAAGTAAGGAGGATAGTTCGGGTGGCCAAAGACTCTTCAAGGATCACAGCTGGAAAATTGCAGAAATTAGTTGAGTATTGGGGTCAGAAAACCTTTAAAAAAAAAACAGCACCTACATCAAAATTTGAATTGATTAAGGAAAAATCCTCTGCTCTCATCCAAAAACAAACTCCAGCATATTCAGTTTCCAGACACAACTGGAACAAAAAGAGCTTTTTGGCAGCAAATCCGCCAGATGGGTTTGGTGCGCACATGCATAAAATAGTACCCTTAATGTGTACAATTAAATAATAAATATACTGATGTGGGCCTATTTGACTTCTGGAGGATCTGGACATCTTTTTGAGATACATGGCATCATGGATTCAATTAAATACCAACAGATAAAAAAATCAAAACCTGACTTATATCTTATATCGTGCTATGGTTAGATCTTCCATCAAGACAATGATCCAAAACAAACATCAAAACCAACACAAAAATGGGTCACTGATCACTGATCTCGTCAGGTGTTCTTCAACCTCACAAGGTTGCAAAAAGTATTGAGTAAAAGGGTGCAAATAATTGTGGCTAATGTGTATTGGAGAAAAACATTTCATAATGAGATTTCCCCCACATTTTCCAATTGTTTTACTTCAATGAAAGGTTCGATTTTTGTGTTTTTTTTAAAAGAGATCAAAAGGATTAATGCAGATTTTTCTTCACAGGTTTCTTTGTTCATTTTTTGGTAGGGTGCCAATAATTCTGACCAGGACTGTTTATTTTTTAAGTTGCGTTACCTCAGGGTTGACGAGCTGTTCCCGATTCCTCACCAGGCCCCAGGGAGCGATGCCAATAAGGACCACTTTACTGAGAGTGACAGAAGACGTTGCGGTGGCATGATCTTTCACAGCTTTTCCTACACACCTGCCAAGGCCTTCCATCAACCCTCCGGTTATGATCCACGCACCTATATGTAATGTATAAGGTGTATGTAAGCCACATAGAAAATCTACTTTTTTTTTAAATGGTGATATTTACTACCGTAGTCATAATTCTTATGAATTCTTATTATATTTTACTGTTTTTTTTAATATATTTTTATGTAAATATTTTGTTTTACCTGTCACAGACCCAAACATTCTAAAAATATGAATTATGTAATATTTAGTTATTTATATTAATTATTATATTTCCATTTAATTGCTTTGTGCATAATTTTTTTTTTACTATATACATAACTTGCTAGGCGACTTTCCAGACACACACCAGGTTGGTGAAATAAATAGTCCTGCAGGAATTGATGTCCTGGTAACTGGGTCTTTAATGACTTGCAGTTACTCTAGACATGAATGTATGATTCATATCTTGTCAGCTTAAAGTAGAATGCAGAGTTGAAGTTTGCTCAAATCACTGTGGCCATGCAATTTTCAGTTGCTCGTCAATCATTTCAGGTATGACATTTACGAACAAAGAGTCGCATGGCCAAACCTTTTGGTAATTTCAGTCTGGCAGTAAATCAAAACTTCTACTCCGATAACACAACTTTAACACAGTTGTGAAAGTAGCATAATGCAAACCTTTGGATAGCATGGAAATGTATGAAAAACATGAAACCAGATATGAATAATATTATATGTGGAGAGAAGACGGCACCTGTACTCTGTGCAGCTTTAACCAGCCCTTGCCTCAGCACGTCTCGCACCCAGGTCTTGACCTCTGACTTTTTCTCACCACCAACCACTGACACCACCAGGTTGGGCTGCGGCAGTTTCCAATGCTCCCTCATGATATTGAAGACCCTGGAAGAATCAGCAGTGCTGGAGAGACGCAAAAACTGGGATAAAGAGAAGGGGAGTGAGATCAAAACGGGAATCAATGGCGAGAAGCAACTGTAAGTTACAGAAACAAGCTACTGATTTGTTAAATGTTTTTAAAGTTACATCAACTGTGCGCTGTGGACGAATGGATCCGTGTTCACAGTGGGGAAACCAGAGGATAACAGCAGCCTTGTCCAGCCACACCTCAGAGACGTCACCCAACCAATTAAACACTTTTAACATAATCTCCTTCGTCATCGTCTGCATCTACAACTATGTGTGACAATTCTTTCTGTGTGGAGTTTGTATGTTCTCTCTGTGTTGACGTTGGTTTCCCCCAAAATCCAAAGATATACAGGACAGGTGAATTGGAGACTGTAAGTTTGTCTGTGTGTGTGTGTGTGTGTGGTCTCTGTGATGGACCGACCATCTGTCCAGGATGTTTTCCTGCCTACGACCCGAGATGATGGGAAAGACTCCAGTCTCCCCACGACCCTACACATGACAAGTGGGATGGATGGATGGATGGATGGGCTACTCTTCTTTCCTTACCAATGTGTCTTCCTTGATCCATGTTTCCAAACAAAATCATTCTGAAGCCATCACGATTTACCAAATATGACTGAAAAAAATTTACTACTGTAATCACGGCCGCATTAACAATAGGGCTAGGCGGGGCTAAAGCCCCAGGGCCCGAACAAGGAGGGGGCCCGTGATTGGCTGTGGAGCAGATAGGCCTAACGTTACTACTAGTCATCTGATTAGCCAAAGCCTTACCACGCAACGCACCCCACAAATTAGCCCTGTTATTTAGTAGCGCTTTGCCGAATATTCCATGCATTATCATGGAATCATTATCATTAATATTATAGTGACCGTTCGCAAAGACCCGCCTTTTTTAGTTACTGTGTGAGTGTGACAAGCCAGGCGGCTCGAGTCACGTACATCATGTTCTCACTCACGCACTGAAAAATACATGGCGGGGCAAAGACTAACGTTACACAATTGACTACGAGAGAGAGTTCAGAGCAGCTTACTGTTGATATGAAACAAAGTCTCAACTTTCAAATATTGTAATTTAAATAATTTAAACAATACCGTTTTCAAGTTCAAGTCCACCGACGTTAATCTACTGACAGCTTTGTTGTCGGACAAAATTGCGTATTCGGCCTTATGATTGGCCAGGTCACCTGTCAATCAAACCCCCGTGGGCAGCAGGACAGGGCATGGTGAAATGAAACGTCACGTTTTAATTTAACATAATACATTTATTTCATATTTAACTTGTGACGGTCGACCTGCTGCTGCACATGCCTGCGCCTTATTAGAATATAGCTACGCATCAACCAATAAATCGCCTCCACCCTTCACTCTAGAGTCTAGACTATTTTTTAAAACACAGCGTCATCGTCGACCCCACAAATTTTCGGTAAGTTTGATTATTAACTTGATGGATGTTTGATATTGCTTTTTGTGTTTGATCAAACTCTATATTCGCCTAAAGGGCTGGCGATAATATATCCGGTAGAAATATGTAAATTTTGCTGAGACACCATGATGTAAGTTTATAAATTAAACGCGTTTTTAATCATTGTGGTTTGGAAACAAATTATTTTAAATGATGGTGAACTTGAGACGTTTTTCACAGCGCACTTGAGTTCCGACCCTGAGGTCTTAAAGTGACAGTAGCTGCTAATAAAGCTGCTGTTGCCATTTGTGTCCATAATGTTAATCAAACATCAGAAAGAAAGTAATTTACTGCCCTTGAATGAATCACTTTTGTAAAATTAATAAGAATGAATGTTGAATTTATAGTGAAAACTATGTAGCCTATTGTATATTTGATTACTTTATACAATATAATATTATTCAGTGCTTTAAGTTTTTCAAGGTCGATTTATTATGTGCCTTTGTTCTATTGTTATTTGTGACTTGTCATCGGTAAGCTTGAGATTATTTTCTTAAGTTACTATTATTTTTTGTGATATTGAAATTGGTCACAAGAATTTGGAGGGCCAGAGCTCTGCACAGTTTAGCTCAAACTCACACCTGCAAGGAAGTTTCTAGCAATCCTGAAGACCTTGATTAGCTGGATTAGGTGTGTTTGATTAGGGTTGGAGCAAAACTGTGCAGAGCTCTGGCCCTCCAGGAATTGAGTTTGACACCACTGTCATGGATGGATAAAATGACTCGTATAATGATAGAACATTTAGCTCATGTAGTTGGTGACCTGTAGTGGTGGGGGGGCCCTGCAGTAACTCATAGCCCCGGGGCCCAGTGAGCTCTTAATGCGGCCCTGACTGTAATAGAGATTAAAAATAGGACACCTGGGTTGTCTTTCAGATGAAATTGCAATTAGTTGCGTTTGTATTAATTATTATTTAATTTCATTGTAAATATTCTGCGAAAACGAAATTTATATTTCAATATAATTCCTGTAAAAATGCACGGAGTTTGCCATCATTCTGATTTGAATAGTGTGAATAGTTTTCATCAGTGACGAAACTGACGTCACTTCCAGAGGAAGCGCAGGGAACTGAGCGTGCAAGTCTGAGTGTGCAAGTGCAAGTCTGCAGACGCTATTGGAAAGTTGGTTTGAAGTGTATTCTCTATAATCTCTACTTTCCATGTGATCCAGATCACAAATATCTATAACTTTATAGCTCGTACAGCTCATATACAGCCCATCCACAATGGAGAGGTACTCACATAGCTGTGTCTCTTGCCGGCCCCAGCAAACTCCAGCTCTCCATAGGCGTCTGTGGGCTGTTCGGAGGAGTGCTGTGTGCTGTCCCAGTGACTGACCATGGCTGTGCTGAAGTTATCGCCCAGGGCCCCTGAGGGGTGTGTGTCTCGCGTGGACCCACACTGACACAGACCACCATTGCTACAAAACAACAGACGGATCAGAAGGAATCTAACAAGACATACTGAATACTCACCAAGTCAGACATCTTACCTGAAAGAGTCCTCCACAAATGTTGTGCACACTCTCTTTTTAAAGAAATCTGGAATCCAGCTCTAAAATCAATAAAAGAAATAATTTTTAATGAATGCACTAAAAACATGATAGCTAGTACAACAGTGGTCTTGGACTTCCGGTGACAATGTCACTAAGTTAGCAAGATCAAGCTAGTATATTAAGCTGATCATGGGATCTATTGAGGGAAAAATACTGAGTGCAATTTCAAAGCTTGTAACACTTTATCTTATCTAATGGTTTTGCGCAAGGAAGGTCAGAATGAGAAAATCACAAAGCTAGGGTAAACAGCTCACTTTAACTCCTCTTGTAATTTCATCATTAGATCCCCACCCATCCCTTTCATCAGGAAAGCAAGACAGACCAGTTTATCCATTAAGGTGCTCATCACTTATTTAGATCATATGAACTGGGTTTTGTGTTTAGTTTCCCCATTACATTGATTACAGTTGATTACATCCCCATTACAGTTTCCCCATTACACTGAAACACCAAAGCACAAACTTTATTGATGCACAGTACAATGAACTATTTCTAAACAGTTCTCCAGAAGAATTTGCATAAAAACCGTATAAGAATTTGAATGCAACTTTGATTGAAATGATAATGTTTGATATTATGATAAGTTAGATGAACCTCAGGTTGCTACAGGGTGACTGTAAATCAGACTAACTTCCATAAAATACTTGTTCGTTTAAAAAAATACAACAAATGTAATTACACTGTAATAGGCTACATGAACACTGCAGTTAGTAAAGTGAGACCATACGACAGAAGACGCACATGACAAACACACGTGCACAGTCTTGTTTTAACCCATGGTATGTTGTTTTGAGGAACTCCCTGAAGTCCTGCTGCTCATAGCAAACACTGAATCTTAGCGATACTGAATGCTTTAAAATACTGAATCTTTAAGAACATAATATATGACAAGCAAACAGCTAAAGCGTGTTTGTAACGAACAAAATCATTGTATACAAAATCAAATGCAAAAAAAAAGAGCTTCTGTTGTTGTAGCCTTAGGCGCTGTAATCAACTTTCTGACAGACCTACCAGATCTGTTTTCGGCATCACGGCGACTCCACCTTGTTCAATGTCATTTTCATTCATCTTGGTTTGTTTATGGACTTTATAAAGTCGCTGTTAGTTCGTAGGAAGTTTCACTTCAAAGCGCTCTTCAGCAGCGCGTAACGTCCATGCGGTGAGAGGAAGTCAGGGATCGCGAGAGACTGTCGGGTTACCTGAGAAAACAGGTGTAACCAGCGCTCGCGCAGGGTGTGGCTACTACAGAGGAGATGGTGGAAGTGTGTGTGTGTGTGTGTGTGTGTGTGTGTGTGTGTGTGTGTGTGAAAAACGAGACAGTAGGCTGTGAGACGAGATTATTGTTCGCCACACAACGGATATTTGTCTAGGTAGGTTGTTAAAAAAAATACCGTCAACAAAATGCCAGGTTAGTTGTTAAATTCGCTTATTATGTTTGGGCGAATTCAAGATAATTGGAACGTTAAGAAAATTTGAGTTATCTCAGTGCCAAAAAAGTGTCCTAATTTACCTGATGTAGAACGGAACTAAAAATGCCATTTTATCTGGTGGCAATCTTGTTTTTTTTTTATAAATATATACAATTGTGAGAAATGTTATTTATTTATTTAATAAAAATCACATGTTATTATTTTCATATATATTAATATATATATATATGTATGTGTGCAGTGTAGTGGTGCCTGGAGAAGTGGGTATACTCTTAATTTATGCCCCCAATATTTTTTAAGCGTCCCAGCAAAGGATGAACGCTCTGTGTTATAAACAGTGACATGTAAGACTAGCCTTGCATTAGTATTGAATATGCAAGACTATAGAATATAGAATATAATGAATACAATAGAACATATAGAATCAGTAGTATTCTTGCATATCAGGGCCGTACGTAGGGTTTTCTAAATACCCAGGTCCCATAAATGACATGCTAGGAAATTTAGATTCTCCTGATCTCGACATGAGCATTTTAAGGTGTTTTGATGGCCAAAAAAAAAAAAAAAAATGAACAAAAGTAGCTTTAAAAGCATGAAGTATTTGATCAGATTCTTAAATATGAGAATCAGTTCCAGTTTCAGCTACTTTTTCTTTCCTAAATTAATCAATGTTTTTGGACTAATCGGTTCATTCAATTAATGGTTCAATAGGCTTTATGCACAGCTGCACTACTTCCTGAACTTCACCCAGCTCCTTTGTTTCCTGTCTGCCATTATTGGACGAACTGATTAATCCAGGTGTGTCTGGCCTCAGTAACAATAATCAGACACACTTTAATCAATTTGTCCAATAATGGCAGACAGGAAACAAAGGAGCTGGCTGAAGTTCACGAAGTAGTGAATCTGTGCATAAAGCCTATTGCTGCACTCATAAAGACAGTCACTTTTCGCCGCCTTCTGGCTTAATGATGCAAGTTGTGCAAACACAGACAAGCGGAGTGATACAAACAGTGAAAACTCGAACACATTCGAGGAAACGTTATACAAATATATTTATACAATAAAAATGGCAATATATTTAATAGGGTGCTTGTGTTGTTAAATTGAGCTTATAATTTCCACTGTCTTTGATCAAACTGATTATTTCTGTCGGTCATTTAAAAAATTCTATCGAAAAACAGCCGTATATTTTAGCTACTTGCATCTTATCTCGCACTGTATCGTTAACTGAAGTGAAGCGTCGCGTTGGGATTAGCGCTCGGCTCGCGCTTCTGTGAACAAAACTCCTGCATGCTTTGATTGGTCTCAAACATTTTGACATTGACGAGCGGGTGTTTGAGTGCCGAAGCAGCTCAGACGAGAAGGTCAGTTATCGTCGCAATGGGAGAATCATTGCAGCAACAAATTAGAGTTAATATTAGGGGTACGACCCTGACTGGGTGTTTTTTATTCACGAGATTGGATTAGCAACTAAATGATGCGCATCAGAGGGGATTTAGAAGTGGGTATACGCAATGCCGACTGAAAAAGAAGTGGGTATACGCCGTATACCTGCGTATACCCTGCACTACACCAATGTATGTGTGTGTGTCTGTGTGTAACCAAGTGAGGGTTATTATTAAAGGGTTAGTTCACCCAAAAATCTTCATCTTCGGAACACAGTTTAAGATATTTTAGATTTAGTCCGAGAGCTTTCTGTCCCTAAAAATGTATACGGTATACTGTCCTTGTCCAGAAAGGAAATGAAGACATCTTCAAAGTAGTCCATGTGACACCAGTGGGTTAGTTAGAATGTTTTGAAGCATCGAAAATACATTTTGGTCCATAAATAACAAAAACTACGACTTTATTCAGCCTTCTCTTCCGGTTCTGTTGTCAATCCGCGTTCAGCGATGCTGATGACGTAAGACGCTGCTGACGTGTAATCTGGTGCGCCCCAGCTTCGTTTACAGTCTAAGGGAGTGTCTAAGGACGCAAACATGTCTAAGGATTTCGACACAGAAGAAGACTTGTATTCTTTGCCCAGCCATATTTATTTGAACCCGAATACACGGACGCACCAGACACACGTCAGCAGCGGCACTGAACGCGGATTGACAACACACAATACAATGCTGAATAAAGTCGTAGTTTTTGTTATTTTTGGACCAAAATGTATTTTCAATGCTTCAAAACATTCTAACTAACCCACTGGTGTCACATGGACTACTTTGAAGATGTCTTTATTTCCTTTCTGGACAAGGACAGTATACCGTACATACATTTTCAATGGAGGGACAGAAAGCTCTCGGACTAAATCTAAAATATCTTAAACTGTGTTCCGAAGATGAACTGAGGTCTTACGGGCTTGGGACGATATGAGGGTGAGTCATTAATGACATAATTTTCATTTTTGGGTGAACTAACCCTTTAAGTACCTTAAAGGTGCTATATGTATTTTTTAGCGGCCTCTATCTGTGATGTTTCAGATTGCAACCAATTTTTACAAGAGCGCTTGTGCTCTTGCGCGTTCTCGAACACAAGAGCGAGCACTCATGGTACCGGCCACACTGAGACTTTCAACACACCGGAGAAAGCATCACACAACATGCTGGAAACTCATGTAAACTGCCACTGCAACGTTACAATAATAGGCTACTTTTATCAGCTTGACGTTGAACTAATGCTCCATGCTCGTACCATGATAACGTTACATTTAGAGATGCACCGATTCCAATTTTCTAGGCCGATCCCGATTTTTCCTCGAGTTTGACCTGCCGATACCGATTTTAGCCGATTCCGATTACATTTTTTTTCAAACCACTTTACAGCACACACAAATATTTATTTTCTATCTTCTCTTTAATAGAATAGAACTTTTTTTGAACAGATAATCGCTATAAAATAGAACTATATAAATTACTCCTGGTGTGGGAAATTCACACACATAAATAAAAATAAAATAAATATTGCCTTGCAGTATAAAGATATTTCTCTCTCTCTCTCTCACACACACACACACACACACAGGCCTATTGCAATCACTTGTACATCAATGGCAAGTTATATTTCTCACACAGTTCTTCTCTCATCTGACACATGTCCAGCCAAGCTAAACAGGACGAGTGGAGCATGTGCAGGGAAACGATTGGGAAATAATAAAAACAAGTTTAAATGGGTAAATTTTCTATAAATATTTTTGTCTCTTCATTTTCTTTCTGACATAGCCTAGCCTACTTCAGTTCTTGTTAAAACACAACAGACATGCAAATTCTGTGCATTTTGGGCACTTTTTGGATGAAATCATATTTATTTTGTCCATCAAAAGTGAGCTTTCACTTAAATTGAGCGCAGCAAAAATGGACTCGATCGGCGCTGAAACCCGCGCTTCACTGTTGCTCACGCGACGCTCCTGCTCGACGCTCACGCGCTTCTCCGGCTCCCGGTGTGAATGCACTCATTGATTAACATGTATGGCGTTCCGATAGGCTCAAATATGTAACTTTGTAGCACGCACTCGTCTCAATGAACGTGACGTCTGCGTCTGCAGAACGTCTCGTCTGCGTCTGCCACATCACTCGTTCGTGTGCCGAACGTGACGTCTGCGTCTGCCGAACGTCTCGTCTGCGTCTGCCACATCACTCGTTCGTGTGCAGAACGTCACGTCTGCGTCAAGGGGGTTTCCATGGCTGCGTTTCCCAAAAGCATTGTAAGCCTAAGTTGATCATAAAAACGATCGCGACTGATCTTAATATTATGGTCTGTTTCCCAAAAGCATCGTAACTTAAGTAGCACTTGAAAATCTTCGTAGAACTACGAGTGCTCTGGAGTAATCGTAAATCCCCAAGTTCATCGTAAGAAGACAGAGTTATGAGATCACCTGTAGGACAACCGGCAGATTACACTTTTATCTAGATTTAACAGACTACACTACGTGAGTATAATATACTATAATAAATATGTTTTGATTGTACTTTATTGTACACTTTGTTGTACTCGTGTTTTGTTTAAATTAATATAGGAAATAATTAAAAAGAGAAGAAAAATAGAAATACACATCTAAATTAAACGAATGAACAAAAAAATCATAAAATAAGAAATCTGGGAAATATGCTTTAAAGACTGGGCAAAATAGGGATGAATTCAAAAAATTCTGTCAACGACTTGCTGACGTGCACGAAAACCAGCCATGTATTGGGCATTTCTTGCGGACCTCCTTCCCTGATCTTTGAACACGGTTGCAGTTAGTTTGCAATGTCCTCCCAGATGTTTTGTTTTTCCTTATTTGTATCCTTTAAATCTGTTAAAAATAAAACCCCTCTATATATCTTATCTAAAAGGACATTAATTTGATCTTTTTGAAAGGTATCTTCTCTTGTTTTTTTGTTTTTGTTCAGCCATTTTGTCAGCCTGTAGGCCCTATTGGTGCTTTATATCTATATAGACTTGTCTTGATTTAATCCACAACAAATGACGATTATTAGGTTAAACGTTCAGAATACGATTCCATATAAGGTTATATTTCAGCACTTCGCGAATGGACAGCGATGCTTAAGTAGCACGTAGAACGCGTTCTCGCGCTTTCATGTTAAGTGCATTTTTGGGAAACGCGCGTGGAATTGCGGCGAGCGTTCGTAACCTTGCACGTAGAGAGCGCTCTTAAGAGCTAAGATACATCGTTATCGGGAAACCCGGCCCAGCACATTCCACACACTTATTCGTTCTTTATTATTTTCCCCCACCGATCTTCAATTCTAGCAATGAAGTGCACATTACCTTGCTTATACATAGCTTTTTATAATAGTTAGTAGGCTAAAT